ATTAAATGGGCTAATCCAATGGATTAAGACTTATTTATTTAATCCATATATAGTGGACTTATATAAATAATCCAATTATATTAGCCCATAATATTTATTTGGACTAGCATATTTAAAATATAGTCCATATTGTTTTATCGATTTAAATTCGTTAAAATTTTAATGCTTACAGTATCATGATATTAAAGAAATCTAGTGGTGGAATGATATGAAAAAGAATATTGTCGAGTTCGTAGTTGTCAGCAAGTAAAGATAAATCATCAGAAGCACGGTGGGCTAGTTCAAAACATAGGGATTCCGACGTGGAAGTAAGAGATGATTAGTATGAATTTCATTATAGGTTTCCCTTGTTCATATCGTAAGTTCGACTCAATATGGATTATTGTTGATAGAATCACGAAGTCAACCCACTTCTTGCAAGTTAGATCTACTTACATAGTTGGGAATTATGCAAGTTATGCATCAAAGAAATAGTACAACTACATGGTTTTCCAGAGGCTATTACACCTGATAGACGGGCCCAGTTTATAGCAAACTAGAGGTCCTTTCGGAAGGTTTTGGGACACAAGTAAATCTTAGTACCGCTTTTCATCTATAGACAGACGGCCAGGCGGAGCACTCAATTAAGATACTCGAGGATATCTTACGAGTGTGCATGCTAGACTTCATAGAGCTATCATTCTAACATTAGTATGGCTCCTTATGAGGCCAAAGGCAGATCCCTATTGGGTGGTTCGAGATAGGCTAATTAGAGTTACTTAGACCAAATTAGGTTCATCATGCTGTAGAGAAAATTAAGCTCATTCAGGAGCGATTATAACAGCAAGGAGCTATGAAAAGTCATATTCAGATGTGTGACGTCAAGACTTAGCATTCCGCATTGATGATTGGGTTTTCTTGAAAGTTTCGCCTATGAAAAACATTAGGAGATTTGACAAGAAAAGCAAGCTTAGACAATGTTTATTAGGCCATACAAAATAAGTAGCGTATGAGTTAAAGTTACCATCAGGGTTAGAGTCTGCCCACCCTATTTTTTAGAAATCTATACTACAGAAGCACATGATGTCCAAATTACAAAGAATCCGTCTTACGAAGAGATTCTAGTTGTTATTCTAGATTGTAAAGTCAGCTTGTTGGGGACCAATAAAGATAGCATGGAGGAATAAGAACGTCGAAGAAAAGATGTGGGAAGCCGAGGAAGAAATGAATTCTAAGTACCCTTAGTTAATTCATACATAAGATTCTTAACAATTGTAACCCGAACATATTTTTCCTTAATCTAGGTTATGTCATTTTTTATTAACCCCCATTTTATGATTAAGTGATATTTAGAGTTCAGGCATACATCATTTCCAAGAGCAGAGTATCTATACGGTAAGTTACAGATTATGATATGAATATTTGAAGTTGATCGTCGTGTGAGGCCTAATGAGATACCATTACTTGTTTATGTCCCTGTGAGGCATATGGTATGTTTCTGGCTATTCGACAGGTATGTGATACTCCTGTTTACATAGGAAACTTTGTCAAAATTTTCATAAAATCTGTAAGAGCTAGTTTCTAAGACACATTTATATTCGAGGACGAATATTCTTAAGGGGGGAAGGATGTTACACCCATACTTTCACGTTAGAATGCGTCGTAAGTGAATCAATATGAGCCCAAGAGGTTGAGGACCTTTACTGATGCACTTTCAAGGTCGCTAAAGTTTTTCACAAAACTAGCGAAAGCGTTCTTCAAACTCACGTTAGAAGAATGTAAGATGGAAAGAAACCTCACCCCCCCCCCCCCCATTCCCCAATCTCGCAAGATTGCAAGAAGCGTTGTATAAAGGAAGAAGAATGAAATAAAAGATCAATCACGTTTTTGAAGCAAAAGCTTAGAAAAACTAATCATCAACGTTTATTTTCAGCATATTAAGCCCTTTAAATAGGCCTTACAATGAGTAAGATTGGTAAGGTTAAGGAAAACTAATCCTAATTAAACTAGAATAAGAATAAGGCTAAGAAAATCTATCCTAACTAAAATAGGAAAATGAATTCTAGTATGATTAGGATACCAACTAACTATCCTAGTTTGACTAGAACTACAAATATAATCATACTAAAATAAAAATTAAATTACTAGGAAACAAGAAATAAGAAATCCCAATCTTTAAGGAAAAGAAATCTTAATCTTGGATGAATTCTTGGACTTCTTGAACTTCTTGGATTTTTAGCTTTCTTGATCTAGCATCAGTTTCCCCTGGTTGAAAAAGACTCATCTTTGAGTCTAACAGCTTTCGTAGATGGCGCAAGATTTGCTATAATAAGAATGGAGACCCAAGGGGTAAAAAAAAATGGGGACCCAATCCTCACCAGGATTTAAGTTACATGTTGCTAGTTTATCATAGGGCTTCTTCACGTTGTAAGCAAACTTAGCATGTGGACGAACTAAATCTCACAATCTATGTTTCAACTCTCTACCAAGTCCTCTCCATGTAATCTTTCTATATTGACTCTCAAACTTCAACTTACGGTATGAAGTTATTGGTATAGACTTTACCAACTCCATGTCTAGCTTTGAGTTAAGCATGGAGATCGACGCTCTTCTTGGGAATGCATCAATTGCATCGCTCGTACACCAACAGTCACTTTGATGATATCCATATATATTTATGACGTTAAGACACCCTGTTTCTCCAGTAAATGGACTCAAACTCTCCATTATCCACTCCTTTATAGGTAATATTTCCTCTTGTTCTAGCATATTTCTATGGACTTAAGAATTAATGTAATATGTTGCCTTGTTTGGATTGATAGAGTCAACAATCAAGTCAATATTGTGTTGAGCATCTCTAAAAGGTGGTAAGTCAATAACACACATAGTTGGGTTCGGATCATCATAAAACTTCGGTGGGAACTCCTCAATTAGTGGATCCAATGCTTTTTCCTCGTCTCTTTGATATTGGTCTTCATCAGCTTTGTCTTCTTCACGCCCCTGATTATCTGAATATTTATCATAATGGGCATGGTGCCTTGGTACTCTTGTGCCTTGGTCAGCTTCAACCTATTTAGCTCTTTGTGAATGAATTGGTGGATGTAGAAGTGGTAGATGTAGCGGTTGTAGGCGTTATGGCGGATTTGGTAGTTGATATTGAAACACCAAACCTTCAACTAATCTAGTCAGATTCTCCATTGATTCCTTCAAGTCATATAGCTACACTTTAATTTCTTCGTTGTCTCGTTCAAGAATTCTAGTTCTTAATTTATGAACTTTTAATTGAAGATCCATTGAAGAGGATCCCGAACTTAGTATTTTCTTGTTTGGTGACACGATGAACAATGTAGCAAATCAACAATTCGGACCTGGAACTTGTGCTCTGATACCAAATTGATGCACTTTCAAGGTTTTGCACCTCTCAAGTATAAAGAAGAGAAAAAAACAATAGCACCCCGCTAAAGTTTTTCACAAAACTAGCGAAAGCGTTCTTCAAACTCACGTTAGAAGAACGTAAGATGGAAAGAAACCTCACCCACACGTTCCCCAATCCCTCAAGATTGCAAGAAGCGTTGGATAAAGGAAGAAGAATGAAATAAAAGATCAATCACGTTTTTGAAGCAAAAGCTTAAAAAACTAATCATCAATGTTTATTTTCATCATATTAAGCCCTTTAAATAGGCCTTACAATGAGGAAAATTGGTAAGGTTAAGGAAAATTAATCCTAATTAAACTAGAATAAGAATAAGGCTAAGAAAACATATGCTAACTAAAATAGTAAAAAGAATTCTAGTATGAATGGGATACCAACTAACTGTCCTAATTTGATTAGAAATACAAATATAATCCTACTAAAAAAAATTTAAATTACTGGGAAACAAGAAATAATAAATCTCAATCTTTAAGGAAAAAAAATCTTAATCTTGGATGAATTCTTGGTAAAAAACATGAAAGTACGCACAAAAATCTTAATCTTAATGGGGGAAGGATGTTACACCCATACTTTCATGTTAGAATGCGTGGTAAGTGAATCAATATGAGCCCAAGAGGTTAAGGACCTTTACAAAGATAATGATGGATTAAAATAAGTGTTAAATAAATATCATGAGGGTTGGAGGTTAAACGAATTAAAGATGTTATAACCCATACTTTTGGGGTAAAACTGTCATAACCTAAAATCCCACCAAAGTTGTCGTAATGGAACCTAATCTCTAAGACTAGGTAAGCCTATCACATAACAACATTAAATCAATAAAATATGATATGATAAGGCAGAGTTTAATATAAAAGCGAAAATAGAATTAAGACGAGCCGAAATGGCTATACTCAATACATCTCCCCAAAACTAGGTAGTACAAAGTCATGAGCTCTAAGTGATTACATGTGGAATATTCAAAATAAAATATTGTTCGGATGTAAAATTAATATTGTCAATATAAAGGATGAGACTCCAAGGGACTGCGACAACATGCAGATCTACCTTGCATCATTATGACCAATGCAAGCTCTCAATCTCAAGATCACTTGCCTCCAACACCTGGATCTGCACATAAATGTGCAGAAGTGTAGTATGAGTACACCATGGTCGATACCCAATAAGCATGAAGACTAAACTTAGTGAAGTGGTGATGAGGTTAAAGTCATATGATACTCACTATTCAATAAACTATGCAATACATTAATAACTGGCAACAGAATATGTAAGGGAAACCAATATCAACCATCTCGTAGAAAATGTGATAATAACTCAATGGAGAAAAATCCAACTTTGTCAAAAAATCATCAAATATAAGTGGGAGGCATGTGATGGCATGTCAAATTCAACTAACACTCGTTAAAAATACAAGACGCAGTTTTAAGAAATATTTATGTGAACAAAATATCAACCCCGTTGCAACACATGAAAAACATCAAGAAAGACACCCTAAAATTATCAGATAATATTATCAACAATGCCACTTTATTGCGCCGCATCTGCAGACTCTAGCAATCACCACGTACGGAAGTACCAGGATCTGCACATAAAGTGCATAGTGTAGTATGAGTACAACCGACCCCATGTACTCAATAAGTAACAAACCTAGCCTTGGGTTGAAAGCATCAACGAACTCGAAAGAAAATCAATGTCCAACAATAATAATCAATAAAAAGCACATAAAATAATAATGACAGTAAAAGTAAATAGCTCAAAGATATCATGTTCAGCTCGTTCACAATTTCGAAAAATTAGACATGCTTTTTAAGTATAACAGTCAAAGCCCAATCTTTCTCCGAAATCAGTAAAATATGATCTTATCAAGGAAAACGTAACTTTCCAAACTTTCCAAACTTTCAATAACTAATAAGACGTTTCAGTTACTATCTAGCATGAGAAAAATATATCTCTATGCCTACATGTCAAATAGGGGTAGGCGCTCGGTACTTCGGTATTTAATAACTATGATTTGGTACTTCGGTATTCGGTATATTAATTGTGCATACCAAATACCGTACCAAAGTAGTTTGATTCGGTTCGGTTTTTTCTTATTTGGTTTGGTACGCTTTCTGTATCATACCAAAGTCTTTCAATATAACTATAATTAATTAACTACATCAATGTAGTCACTTCTCCTCAAATGTATAGCTAGAAAATAAATTATGTATTATCCTGTATATAGAATTTTGAACTATAGAGACCAATGTGAACTACTTGCCGTGATAACTGAAAAGAGAAAATGGAAAATTATGGAGCAAACGAAGGAAGTTTGTCGAATTCCCAAGTGACTCCTCCATCCTCTGCAATTACAAGACCAAATAACTAAAAAGACAAACCAGCAAAAACAGAGTATAAAATAAAAATTGTATAAATTGGAAACTAAATTCAAACAAATGATATGGCACATCGAAGGGGAGTGGGATGTTTGGAAAGCTGAATATGTTTTCCTTGATAATTGACACTAAATCTTCTCAAACAAATATACCCATAATGTATGAGGGGAAGTCCTCGAAGCTTGAACAGTACAGCTCTTGAGAAGCTTGAACAATGCTGTTACTACATTGGAAAAGCTTGAACAAACTTAATACCACATTACCAAACACATAAAATAGTAAACTACAGCAGATCAACTAAACATGAAACTCCTGCCAAACAACAAACTTAATACCACATTACCAAGCAAAGGAGTCGCCGCTCACCGAGGTCGTGAAGTCGCCGTTGCCCTTTGCTATTGTAGTCATGAATCAGCACCAACCAAGCAATGTTGCAATTTTTTAGAGAAGCCTAGGGTTAGAAAAATAGAAAAGGGAAAAAGGGTAAGCAGGTACTGCCCGTAAGTTATAAGTCTGCTTAAGCGCTAAGGATTAGGGAACTAGGGGGCTTGGGGTGTTGGGCTTAGGCTAGTTATTAGGGTGGAAAATAAAAATATAGTTGGACTTGGACTTAAATATTTTGGTATTTCGATATTCCGGTATACCAAACTATCAAAAACTCAATATCGTATACCGTACTGAAATACGGAAATATCGAAATTTTTGTACCGAAATACCGAAAAAACCGAAACCGAAATACCAAATTAATTCGGTTCGGTTCGGAATTCAGATGTTATGCCCACCCCTAATGTTAAATATACATGTAGAGTCAATAACATCACAACGAAGTCATCAAGTATACTCACACTCAGCACACTCACGATGCTTGCCACAAGTGCCCCTCACCATCACGCACACAACCACATTCAGTACTGTACAGGTTCCTGGCACAAATTCCCCTTACCAAAGCACATATAAAATTTTGTGCCTGCGCTTAGTGTGAATACCAGACTTTGGAGGTGCGGATCCTTGCCCAAGTGCTGATCAATACAAGCCAATAATCAATATAATTATTGTAACGTGCAACCCAATCTAAATATCAATCTCTTGCAGCGTGCAACTCGATCCAATATAAATCACAATACGGCTTTATGGCCCATCAATCATCAACTGCTCAAGTCTCAATGGCTAACGTCTCATCGAGCTCAGCCTAAATAGTATCAAATATAGAAGGCAATAATATCATGTGATATGACATATAAATAATGTTCGGAGACTGTGATATTACATGTGAATATAGAATTATGATGGAGAATATGACAACAATTAAGTAAACAGCTCAAAACAACAAGAATAGCCCTATCATGCCTCAAACAAATAAGTACATAGCCTAGACATGATTTCTAATACGAGTCACACCTCAAATGGTCATACAAGTATAGAAAACACGGATATAACGAGGCATGAAAACGAACAAGTCTTAGTAGCAGCCCAAAGTCTACTCAAATCATGAATACCTCGGTGTACGCACACACGTCCGTCATATAGCACATGCATCACCCCCAATATATCTCAAGTATCGTAGTCCGTAGGGATAATTACTCTCAAATTAAGTTTAGATATGTTACTTACCTCAAAACACGTGAACCAGTACTCTAAATAGCCCTCTCCGCACGAATCAACCTCTGAACGGCTCGAATCTAGTCAAAAATAACATAATAACATCAAATAATATCGTAGGAAATATCCCCAAATAATAAAGATTCATCCTTTATATAAATCAAAAAGTCAACCCTGGGCCTGCACCCCGAAACCCGATAAAACTTACAAAATTTCCAACACCTATTCGAGTATGAGACCAACCATACTAGTTTCATCCGATTCTGATCTCAAACCATCAAATTTCACTCTCCAAAATCACACTCAAAAATCATCAAATTTCACCTTTAATTCATATAAACTAGGTGTGATAGTCCATGTGTAATTAATATCTAACATCAAAATTAAGTAAACTTTACTTACCCCTTCAATTGCAGTGAAAAGTCTTCAAAAAATTGCCTCTAGCCGGGCTCCAGAACTCCAAATAATAAAAAATGACCAAACCCTCTAAGTCATATAGGTTGTCAAGTGATTCCGCATTTGCGGTCCAAATTACGGCATTTGCAGTAAAAATCTCGCATTTGCGAGTTCACTTAAAAAGCAATTTTGCTGCTTCTGCGGACACCAAGCCGCATCTACGGCTCCGCTCTTACGAACAAATGCCGTATCTGTGGACCTCCCCCTTGCCAAGCCATGCTCGCACCTAAGCCTCCCAGGCCGCTTCTGCGACCAAACACCCGCAGATGCGAAAAAACCAGAACTCGAAAATCTCAGCAATGCCAACTCAATCCAAATGATCCGAATTATATCTTAAACACACTCAAGGCCCCCGGGATCCCATCCAACCACACCAACCAATATTGAAACATAACATGACCTACTCGAGGTCTCAAATCACATATTAAAACTCTGAATCACATCCCAGTTCAAGCCTAAGGAATTAATGAACTTCCAACTTCCAAAAGTTATGTCGAACCATATCAAATCAACTCGGATTGACCTCAAATTTTGCTTACAAGTTCCAAATGACATAGCGGACCTATTGTAACTCCCAGAACCACAATACAAACCCGATATCAACAAAGTTAATTCCCAGCCAAACCTATGAACTTTTCAAACCTTCAACTTTCCAACTTCTGCCAAATAGAACCAATACATATGTAAAGCATTAAGTAGGGGGAATGAGGCTCAAATACACAAAATTATCGGTTGGGTTGTCACAAAACATACCATCGCAAATGCGAGGTCTGCAGCACCAGCAATCCCAATTCTTAGCAAATCAGCGTGAAACTCATCTTAAACTTACTCGAGCCCCTCGGGCTCCACTTCTAACATTTACACAAGTATATTAATATCATACAGGCTTGCTTAGAAGCTCAAATCATCAAAGTAATATCTAAAATTGAGAATCAAACACCAAAACTTAATGAATTTCTTAGTTCATACTTCAAAATTTTCACTTTTCCACATTAAGCGACAAAACGGCCTCGGGTCACCCAGGACCTTTATCAAATATGCATTCAAGTCCAAAATATCATACGAACATATCAGAATCATTAAAATATCACTCTTATGTCATTTACAAGTTCAAAAATTAAGTTTTATTTAAAAATTCACATTTAAACTTTCCGAAAATCAATACAGACCACGCACGGAAGTCATAAATCATCAAATAGTTCTATGAAAGGTCTCAAGAATAAAATGGGAGCTAGTATTCAAAACAACCAATCAGGTTGTAACGATCGAGCCGGTCGTTTTGAGAGTATTATCCCCGATTCCCTATATACTGCTTCCTCCATTTGATTTTATGCTTATGTGACTCACCGGGAGGATTTTTTTGGTTACGGAGTGAAATGGCACACTTAGTCCCTAAAATGGAAGCTTAAGTTCTAGGAATTTAACCGTAGTTTGAATTATGTGAAGACGACTCTGGAATGGAGTATTGTCATTTCAAATAGCTCCTTATTGTGATTTTGGTCTTAGAAGCGTGTCTGGATGTTGATTCGGAGGTCCGTAGGTCATTTCGGCGTTAATTGGCGAAAGTTGGAAAGTTGGATGAATTTTAGAAACTTTGACGGTGGAATTTTTGATATCGGGGTCGAATTTAAATTTTGAAAATTGGAACAGGTCCATAATGTCATTTATGACTTGTGAGAAAAATTTGAGGTCAATCGGACTTGATTTGATAGGTTTCGCCATCGAGTGTAGAAGTTTGAAGTTTTAAAGTTCATTAGGCTTGAATCAATGCGCAATTCATGTTTTTTAGCGTTATTTGATGGTGATTTAAAGGCTCGACTAAGTTTGTATCGTGTTTTAGGACTTGTTCGTATGTTTGGTTGAGGTCGCGTGGGCCTTGGGTTAATTTCGGGTGGTTAACGAATCAAATTGGAGTTGGGTTAGATTGTTGAAGCTTGGCAGTGACTGGTGCAATCGCACCTGCACACCTTGGGCCGCAGGTGCAGCGCCGCAGATGCGCCCCTTGAGCTGCAGAAGCATGATTGAGTCAGGCCAACTGGTATCGCAGGTTTGAAGGAAGAGCCGCATCTACGCGTCCACGAATGTGGGGGTGTGATTGCAGAAGCAGATGAGGCAGCATGGGTTATGGTTATAGAAGTAAAAGTCTCTCCGCAAGAGCGGGCTTGCACTAGTCCGCAGAAGTGGAATTTCTGGCCTTAAGTGGAATCCGCACCTGCGATGGATTTTCTGTAGGTGCGGCATCGAAGTGCGACTGGGAGCCCACAGATACGAAATCGCTAAGGTAAAAAAGGCCTAAATCGAGGGTTTGATTTCATTATCCATTGTTGGACCTAGAGAGCTCGGATTGAGGTGAAAATTTGGGGGATTTTAAGAGAAAACATTTGGGTAAGGATTTTTGACTTGTTTTTTTTATAAAAATCCATTAATTCATCGTTAATTTCATCATCTAATAAAGGATTTGGGTTGAGAAATTGGGGAAAAGGTGGAAGATCCTTAGGCCGAATTTTGGGATTTTAGTCGAGGTTTGGGTATCAGATTTGTGTAATTTTGGTACGGGTGGACTCGTTGTTAAATGGGTGTTCATATTTTGTGACTTTTACCCAATTTCAAGATGTGGGCCCGGGTCGACTTTTTTGGGCGATTTTCTAATTTCTTGTTAAAGTTTCATTTCATTAATTAGATTAGTTTCTTATAGTTATATTTATAGTATGAAATTTCTTTTGGCTAGATATGGGCCATTCGGAGTCGGAAAGTCGAGGAAAAGGCATTCTTACTGACTAATTGAGCTTGGTTTGAGGTAAGTGACTTGCCTAACCTTGTGTGGGGGAAACCCCCTTAGGATTTGGTACTATTGTAACAATTTGTGATATGTGAGTGTCATGTACATGAGGTGACGAGTGCGTGCACGGGCTAATTGTTGAAAATTTGGTTTTTACTGAATAGTAATCCGTTTATGTCTCAAATGAGTTATCCCAGCATGTGTAGTTATCATGTTTAGCCTAATATCGCATGTCTACGTTTTTTAAATGCTTACTTGAAATCTGTGTAGCATGCTTAGTTGAATTCCTATTTTTCCTTAATTTTTGGTATTTAGTCTTTAACTATAGGATTTCCTGCTGTAAATTCGTTGTGCCATCGGTTACGAGCAGTGTATTACTTTGGGACTACGAAGCGGTACCTCGGGAGCTCCCCTGTTGCATATTTACTTTTGGGACTACGAGGCGGTACCTCGAGAGCTCCCCTGTTGAGTATTTACTTTTGAAACTACGAGGCGGTACCTCGGGAGCGCCCCTGTTGTTTATCTCTATGTGCTGTGTTGCTACCTTTTTGTAACTTCCCATTATTAAATTCTCAGTCTTTTCATTATATTATTATATCCTCTGCCTTGATTATTATATTCCAGTAAGCACTGACCTAACCTCGTCACTACTCTACCGAGGTTAGGATTGGCACTTATTGGGTACCGCTGTGGTGTACTCATGCTACTCTTCTACACATCTCTTACCAGAC